CCCCCCCCCCCCCCCACTCCTCCTCTCCTCTTTCTTGCCAGACAGGAGACAGAACATCCGAAAGAGAAGAGGAATCCCGGTTATTCACGACGAGTTCCATGTGAAAATCGGTGGCACTGTTATTTCTTCGAATTTCAATTATAGAAAAAGATGGGTCCAATCCACGATTCTGTCTTTCTTCTTCTGCTTCTTCTTCTTCCCCTCCTCGTCACGCAAGTCTGGTCCTTTAGACCGCCGGTCCAACCTCCTTCTCCGTCCGAGGTGAGAAATATATTCTCTCTGTCGAGATTCTTACAAAACATCCAAGTTTCTAGGGAAAAAAACTTATCAGTTGTGAAACGTACGAAGCGATATTCAATGTCGGAGATTTGTTTTTTGGCTGGTGGTGGAGAAACAGGAGGCGCTGTTTGAAGGAAAGACTCGCATTGGGTCGACGCCGCCGAGCTGCCACAACAGATGCAGCGGCTGTCATCCATGCATGGCCGTTCAGGTCCCCACTCTCCCGAGTCACGTCGACGCCCGAGCCGCCGACGAGTTGATCCGGCCACCCCCGGGTCAAGATCGGGTCTCTGACACGTCATCAGCCGCCGGTGTTAACCAGTACTCTAACTACAAGCCCATGGGCTGGAAATGCCACTGCAACGGCCACTTGTATAACCCATGACTCTCTCCTCTTTTGGTGGGGAGATAGAGAAGCCGTTCTTGGATTCTTTGTAAATTCTAGGGCTTGATTTTTAGTTGTAAATAATCCCTTTACGCTGACCCATGCACCCCATAATCGATTTTGTAACACTCTTTTTGAACTCGTAATTGCATGTTTCGCTTTTAGTATCTTATGTTGTCGGAGTTTGAGTGGAAACTGTGGCGGTTTCAGTTTCATCGTCATCACGGATCAGATCCAAACCCTTTTTTTTTTCTATATATAGACACTAATTCATGTAATTTACTATCAAATCAATGTATATACGTGAATTGAAAATTTATTGGAAGAAATGCTTAGTTTGAACTAGATTGGATTTTTCTACTTAAATTTTTTTTTTTTGGCAAAAATCCGTATTTGTGTAATCATGCAGACTCCACTTCCGACGAAGGAACAATTGCTGACAACTTGACCTAATTGTCCCGCCACCCACCCACAGATTTCCTTCAATTTCATCGCTTGAGGCTATATATCAAAGTATAACCATACTATACTGCATGTCATAATTCAAAACCATAATAGTAACGGATTTTTTTATTTTATTAAGATTGAAATACTGATATCCTCGAATATATTCCATGCATACACGTCTTTGTTACGTCTTCTCTCGAGATTTTCATTTCATTGATGAGAATGGAATATTATTATTAATTATTGTTGATAACTCGCACGTGGAATAAATATCTAGTGGGTGGTAGTAGTAAACTCAGAGGCTATGGTGGAGAGAGTGCGGAAGAGAGAATGGGGCTTCGAGAGCATCGTCATGTGATCTCCGCCGTCGATCTCGTAGACTTTTTCCACGTGGAAATTATGGACCATCCACTTCATGAAATCGCATGGTATCGCTTTGTCTTGGCCTCCCATTACGTAAACTCTTTCCACCGAACCATATTTCTCGTCGCTGAATCTCTCCTTCTTCCCTAAATCTCCTTGGAAAAACGATCCTTGCCTATGCAGCATTTTCGCCGACTCATAGTCCTTCACCACCACAACAAAAGATATCGTTTATTGTTGCTATATGCATGCATATATGTATGACATTGGATATATATATGTATATGTATATGTATATAATACAAGGGATGAGAATGAAAAGTACAGATATTGTGGAATTAATTGGTACCTCGACGGAACATTCTTGGTAAAGATAATTCTTCATGAACTTAGGCCCCATCTTGAACAAAGACATACTATTCCCATTGCTTGTTTGATGAGACGAAACCTCACAGTCCTCCAAATCTTGAAATTTCTCCATATACTTTATAAAAAAGAAAAGCTAGTAAATCGATAAACCGCTAATTAATACACTAATCACATGATCGTTTTTAATGGGTCGTCGGTTATATCGATTAATATATACTATCTTTTGTATATGTATAATTTTCTTGGTACCTTATCAAGAACGTAAGAAGGAACGTGGGAGGTGTCGGGCATGAAGGCGTTGAGAAACACCAAGACCCTAATCTTCTCCGGAAACTTGTCGGCGGCGAGAGCGACGTTGATGCCTCCCAGGCTGAACCCTACGAGGATGACGCCATCCTCATCCTCGGGGAGGGCTTGGAGGGCATCGATCAACGGCTGGGAATACTCGTCGAAAGATCCAACGGCTTGGATTGGTCGAGGGTCGGCTCCGGAGGCGGCGAGATCGACGGCGGTGACGCGGTGGCCGGCGGATTCGAGGAGAGGCTTGAGCTTGTACCATATCCACCCACCATGGTAGGCATTGTGGACCAACACAAAATGTCTTTTCCCCATCTCTCTCTCTCTCTGTGTCTGTTTTCTAATTAGTGTTTCTTAGTGCAAAAGTGAATCGTGGGTCTGATCAAATACTGAATACT